ATACCTCATGTTTAAATGGCCTTCTTTTAGATAGCCAATGTCAGATTTTTCCATCCCTATCAAATCAGAATTTTGAGGGAACTAACATCCCCCTTTTGCTGAATAATCCGCTGTTCAACTTGGAAATTTTGAGCATCAGTATCCAAAAAGCAAAGTCCTATGCAGGACATTGACCCAAGTTCACAGCATGGATCATCTTCTCTTCATCTGCTTCGGTTGTGCTCTATTCATTTCCAGTCATCTCTGGCTAGGTTTAACATGGTGTCAAAGGTAAGCTCAAGACTCTACATCTCTCTTTGCATTCCAGCATATTGTTGTTGTTGTTGTTGTTATGTGCTGTCGAGTAGCTTGCGACTGATAGCGACCCTACGTATAACAGCTCTAAACTCCGCTCTGTCCTTTGCCAATCTCATTGTCCCTGACACACTCATCCCGATTGCCCCAGTCACTGAATCAATCCATCTAGCAGAGGGCCTTCCCCTCCTGCACCTGCCCTCCACCCTCCCAAGCATGATATCCCTCTCCAAGGACCGATCCCTTCTTACAACATGACCAAAATATGTCAGACGAAGCCTCAGAATCCTTGCCTCCAAGGAGCAGCCTAGTTGAACCCTCTCCAGGATGTATCTGTTTTTTTAGCAGTCCATGGCACTGTCAGCACTTTTCTCCAACAGCAAAGCTCAAAAGCACCAATTCTCCTTCTATCCTCCCTGGTCATTGTCCAGCTCTCCGGCGCATCACAAGTGATTGCAAAGACCCTGGTCTGTACCAGATGCACCGTAATCTCCAGAGACACACCATTGCTCTTGAGTACTTTAGAGAGGTCCCGAACAGGAGACTTTCCCATGGCAATACATCTTTTAATTTCCTTTCTGCTGGTGCCAAGAGTGTTGATTGTGGAGCCAAGCAGACTAAAGCTGTGAACAATCTCAATCTCTTCACCATCCATTCTGCTGCTACCAATTGGTCCAGTGGTGAGAATCTTTGTTTTCTTGACATTGAGCCTCAATCCATATTGTAGGCTGCAGTCCTTGACACTCTGCAGCATGTGCGTCAGGTCCTCCTCAGTTTCAGCAAGCAGGGTTGTGTCACCTGCATAACACAGATTGTTGATAGATCTTCCACCAATTCTGACGCCTCATTTCTACTCATAGAGCCCAGCCTCCCAGATAGTCTGTTCTGCATACAGGTTGAAAAGGTATGGAGATAGGACATATCCCTGTCGTACGCCCTTCCCAATTTTGAACTGTGCTGTGTTCCCTTGCTCTGTTCTGATGACTGCCTCTTGGTTCACATGCAAGCAAGATTCTGCTGAAGATTATCCAAAAAAGACTGGAACAGCACATCAGCAGAGAACTGCCAGAAGTCCAGGCTGGGTTTAGAAGGGGTCGTGGTACTAGGGATATTGTAGCTAATGTTAGATGAATGTTGGCTGAAAGCAGAGAATACCAGAGGAATGTCTTATCTGTGCTTCATTGCTTATGCAAAGGCTTTTGACTGTGTGGACCATAACAAACTGTGGCTGACTCTGAGAAGAATGGGATTCCAGAATATAGGATTCTTTATATTAAAAAACATAAACTATTCTCAGTCTTCCTTACTCACTTTCCAACTTTTGCATGTATATGAAACAATTGAAAATATCATTACTTGAGTCAGGGCACCTTAAAATGACAGTCCTTAAAGTGACACATTTTCTCTCTAGCACAGGAGAGGAAGACCCTAGATGAACTGGGTTGATACAGTAACGGAGGCTGGTGTGTTGGAATTAGTGAGGCTGACTCAGGACAGTCCAGGGTTCTGAGCACCTGTACATAGGGTTGCTATGGGTCACAGGCGACTCCACAACACATAACAACATGTGATTATTGCTTGTTACTTCCCTCAACAAGATGGGTTAACACACTGACTATACAAAAAGCTGGAATATGATCGAGTCCTGAGTATTCAGGAGAGGGCAAGGTTTAGGTCTGTCTATCTATAACATCACTATAAGTCATAGTGAACTCAGTGACATCTAAAAACAACAACCAGATCACTGCCATGGAACAGTTGTACACGCTGGGAGCTCTGGATGACGAGGGGCTGCTCACTCGCCTGGGCCGCAGCATGGCGGAGTTCCCTCTGGAGCCCATGCTCTGTAAAATGCTCATCATGTCGGTGCATCTGGGATGCAGTGAGGAAATGCTGACCATCGTGTCTATGCTGTCTGTGCAGAATGTCTTCTACAGGCCCAAGGATAAACAAGCCCTTGCAGATCAGAAGAAGGCCAAATTCCACCAGACTGAGGGGGACCACCTCACGCTGCTGGCCGTGTACAACTCCTGGAAGAACAACAAGTTCTCCAATCCATGGTGCTATGAGAACTTCATCCAGGCTCGTTCCCTGCGCCGGGCCCAGGACATCCGCAAGCAGATGTTGGGTATCATGGACAGACACAAGCTGGATGTGGTCTCATGTGGCAAGTCCACAGCCCGCGTGCAGAAGGCCATCTGCAGTGGGTTCTTCAGGAATGCTGCCAAGAAAGACCCACAGGAGGGTTACCGGACGCTGATTGACCAGCACGTGGTCTACATCCACCCTTCCAGTGCGCTCTTCAACAGACAGCCTGAATGGGTGGTGTACCACGAGCTGGTGCTGACCACGAAGGAGTACATGCGTGAGGTCACCACCATCGATCCCCTGTGGCTTGTGGAGTTTGCCCCCGCCTTCTTCAAGGTTTCTGACCCGACCAAGCTAAGCAAGCAGAAGAAACAGCAGCGTCTGGAGCCCCTGTACAACCGCTATGAGGAGCCCAACGCCTGGAGAATATCCCGTGCCTTCAGGCGACGCTGAATGGTGGATCTCCTCCCTGTCGACCTCTTCTGCATCAGCGGCTTAGGCTCGGACTTCGGCGTACTTGTAGTACGTTGGCCCTGAGAAGACAGCTGTCCTGGACTGAACATCCTAACTGGACTTTCCTAGACTTGACTCCTTTCCTCCCTGTTGGTTCCATAGAAACAGGGATAGAAGTCTGGCCTTGGCCGCAGCCTCTGGCTCCCACCAGGCCAACTCCCTGGGGCCAGTTGAGAGTTCACAGCATCGACTCCTGAGTGGGAAAGGAGAGGCAGCGAGTATCTGACAAGACAGACTCGGGGAGGTCCTGCTCCCCTGTTCCTCCTCTCTGGAGGGGGCAGCACAAAGCTCATCCAAAGTGTCAGCCCCCGCTTCTTCTCAGCTCACCCGGTACTTTGTCTTGACCTAGAAATATTTATTTTTTTAAAAGAAACAAAAAAAAAAAAATAAAAAAAAAATAAAAACAACAACCTGAAATTTATTGTGGATCCAAGAAAAAAAAATAAATCCTAGACAATTTCAGTATCTTCTTCAATTATCATGATGCTTTTTGTTTGTTCAGTTGTGATAACTTTTGCCTTTGTTGTTGTTGTTGTTGTTGAGGGGTGCTTTATACTGAAGACTATAGTTTTCATTCTTCATCTGTAGGTACTTCAGGTCCTCTACACTCAGCAAGCAAAGTTGGGTAATCTGCATATCACAGATTCTTCTTCTTCTAGTGCTGATGTTGTGCTCTTGTTTATAGAAACCTGTTCTTAGATGATTCATCATAAAAATGTAATAAATATAACATAAGCGCATAACCCTAGCACACACCTCCCCAAGTTTTTGATTGTGCAGTGTTCCCTTGTTCTGTTTGAATGACTTTTTCTTGGTCTATGTACAGGTTTCAAATTAGTACAATTATCTGAATTTTCCACCTTTCACAATGTTATCTATGATTTGTTACGAACTACACAAATACCTTTGCATTGTCTGTAAACCACACACAAACATCTTTAGTGTTGGCTTTTAGTCAAGATTTGTGTGACATCAGTGATGTCCAATCCCTCTTTCCATGCCCTCTTTTGAATCCGTCTTGAATTTGTGGACATTTCTGCTGATCATTTCAGCAACCAGTTAAGGCACAATATTTCCTACCAGTATTCAATGCTTCCAAGTAGTTAATTTCCCAAATGTTGAAGATAATTCCTCTGGATTGCCAAAATTATAATACCTAACATTAGGAATGTCATGAAAGACTGAAAACACTTTCCGTCTTATCCTTCCCTGCAATGAGATACCCAGTAGAAATTGTTTTTCAGGTATAACTCTGACTCTTTACCATGCAATGTACATCTTTATGAATTTTAAAGCAGGATGTTTATTTCTTTTGTTGGGCATTCATTATCCAACCTGAATTCTGATTTCCCAGACTTCATCATAACTGTCATACTCAGAAATGCAAATGTATTTATAGAAGTGGATGTAGTACATTAATTAATGGTGTTTTAATATTGTTACTTTAATTATTGATCTCAAGCCTTCAGGCTTCCTAATAGTTTCAATAAAATATCTTCTAAAGACTCCACACTACTCAGCCTACTTAACCATTCAAGAAGGGAGATTGCTTTGTTCCTGGTATGTGGTTTTTCTTTCAACCTCATTTCCTATTCCTTTGGTATCAGAGAATGCACCAAATCTAAACCCTTTATTCTGGAAACCTCACAGCTTTTAGTCAGTAGTTTCTGTAATCCTCTCCATGTGCTTTTCCTTTTCCCTCTTATCAATAGTATGAATTAGCATATTATGTATGCAGAAAAGTATAGAGAAAATTATTTTCCTGTCCGTTTCAGATTCAGGGGCACTCAGAGTCTACTTCTAATCTTAACTTTTGCAAAGACTCTAGGTTTCTCATCAGATATTCAAGATAGTGAAAACTTTTAATACTTTGTCTAGAAATTATTTGAATGCCCATCTTTCTCCCACAGAGCAACTAATGGATCCAAACCATCGGACTTTGCTTTTGAAGCACAACTCTCTATCTGCTAGACCACCAGAAGTCCCTTGAGAATGGGGATTTTCTTACAAATAAAATGCTAAAAATTGCTGTTACCTCAAGTCTCCGGCCAGGTTTCCCTTACTCTCCTTTTAAGTATTTTCACCATGAGTAATCCCATTAACCTAAAATATGGAGGGGTGGGGGATGACTTCATTTTAATGCCAACTTCAATCTCCTTGCATTCTTGCTCTTCATGTATTTTCTGTCCTTTTGGAATTGTAAGTTGATAAAATTTTGTTTCAGTAAAATTAATGAAATATGCGTAGCTAAAATATCTTTAAAAAATAGGGGGGAAATCCATTAAATAATATACTCATGGATAGAATTAGAGATCTCTAGATTCATTGCAAGAACCTGTGTCTTTGGGTCAGTTTCTGTTGCAATAGCCTGAACCATGTATTCTCATCATGTAATTAAGGTCACACAATTTCACATGCAAAGATCAATGTTTGTTTTCTTGATGACATATTTGTGCTGATACTTACCCAGCCTCCAGTATAATTGCCAGAAAGAAATATCTGTAAAGACAATGATTTATCTATTTAGTTAAATCATATTCAGGATGAAAACAGTGATAAAGACTTAGTAGTTAAATGAAGCGATTGTCCATTTTGTCCTTGTTTTTCTCCTATTTGTCAGTATTGTTAAAACAAACAAACAAAAACCAATTATCAAATTAAAATGTTTCTGGCTGATTTTCCTTCTATATTTTGGGTTTAATTAACAAGAATAAACATTATGTGACTTTGTGAGAGTTATATGCCAACCAATTTATAGTACTGTGGTTGTTTTTATGTAGTATTGAGTTGGAACAGACTCATAGCTGACCATCCAGTGTGTTTCCAGAAGCTGTAAATTACATGGTAGGATATTGATCATATTTATCCCAAGAGGAGCTGGCAGATTCAAGCTACCTGCTTTCGGTGGTATAACTTCTTTCTCAATATGCCTCCAGAGCTTCCCTGTGATGTTGTTGTTGTTGTGTCCCATAGAGTCAGAAGTGAGTCACCCTTCAGCGTGTTTTCAGAAGCAGCTGATGACACGAAAGGAGATTGCCCATCTGTCTCCCACAGAGCAGTTGGTGGCCTGGAACCGCTTACCTTTGGGATTGCAGCACAGCTATCCTCATTACTTTATCAGTTAGGTATAAGTGTTAGTACCACAAACCTACTTAATGACTTGTCGATGGTCATGCAGTAGTGAGTAGTCAACTAGAAAGTTTCAGATAACAGATGGGTGTCTTTGAATCAATTGTATTTTAATACATTGTACTGTCTGATTCTCATGGTAGTTTGTGTGGCAGGTATTGTTTAGCAATATTTAATAGACAAAGACATGAGAGTCAGAAAATGTAAGTGACTTCTTTAAGCTCAAAATAAACTTATAGTGTAGGTTTGGTTTCCAGTTCTGTTAGTCCTGTCATGCTGCAGGAATTGCGAATGAGTCATTAAGCATTAGTTATCACTGTGTGAGTGAATTCTGTCAAAAGAAATTACTATTTCTGCCTATGCCAGTTTAGATTGAGAAGAAGATGATGATGTTACAAAATAATTGAAGAAATTTACCATGTTGAATATGGAACTAGGTGCCTAGCAGAGAGTCTTCATATAAGGCTTCACTTATTAAGAGGGAGACAAGCAAAAGAAGATGAAGAATTGCGGAAAATAGAAGAGGCAGGAGCACTGATGGCCAAAAGGTGTGGAACTGCACTACCAACCCAAAGGCACCCAGTGCCAATCTATCAATCACACCACAGGAGAAAGGTGGGCAATCTCTTGTGGCATGCACTGCTTCTGAAAATGTGCCGCAGAGTTAGCTGTGAGTTGATTCTCACTTAGTATCAAACAGCAAATGGAAGACAGATGACTCCAAAACAATGTAAAGGAATCTGTTACTGTTGTTATGTGTCGTCAAATCGACTATGACTAATTGCGGTCCTTCAACAACAACACGCTTAGTTGTTCCAAATCCTGCTCTACCCTGAGCCAATCTCACTGTCTCTGATGTACGTACCCTTATTACCCCTTTTATTATGTCAATCCATCTCATCTGGGGTTTTCCTCTCCTTTTCTGATCCACCACTCTTCCAAGCATGATATCCTTCTCCAAAGATTGATTCCCCCTGGCTACATGCCCAAGTAATAGTGCTTTAGTTACAACCCAACAAATGCAAACTATGTACTCAGAAGACAGTTCAAATTCAAATTCATTGTCATTGAATTGAATTGATTCTCTTAACAAGAGGAGACTACCAATCTTTTTCTTCAGCAGCCATTGGTGGATTGGGAATGTGGCCTTTTGTTAGTTGTACAGCATGCTAGAGATGCCACCAGAGCTTCTTAGAAAAAACATAGTGCTAAATTATTCTTGTCACTGTGCATTATAGAACTAAAGTATCTGTCCATTCTGTGTTCAAATATCGTGTTCAATTCTATGTAAAATTATGTCAAATAAGGTTTGATTGCAAAATTTTATAGTTTACATTTTAATGTAAACTTTGTTATGCCTATGAATAGATCTGAGTAGATGTGTGTAAATAGATCTCTTGGGCCATGAGACAGTGCACAATCTCTGAGGATGCTCATAATGTTAAAACATGGTGATCATACAAATGTTGATAAACTTCTGGTGATTGTTATGTGATTTTGAATTGTGTTTTGATGTAGGAAGTTCTCATCTGTGTCTACTTTTTAAAAGGAGCCTGAAGTAAAAAATCAGGAATTAAGCAGCAAATGCTATACTTACAGATTTAAAACTGGGTAGAACATATAATACAAAATCTCTACCTTAATGTTAAAGAATACTTTTATATTTCCTTTCATTATGCAAAAAAGACTTTTAAAATATTTTTAAATAAACAATTCTAAGAGAAAAACGGGCCAAAAATCTAGTGTTTTGCCCAAGCTATTATTAGTTAAGACACATATCAAAATAGAATATTTATGATTCATTATTTAAT